GCTATCTAACTACACTAAAATGACGATATTATTATTATTACAATATTATTTTGAGGAATTTGCAGTGTGACCTGTAGTTATATTTTGGCCTCACAGAATAAAATAATATAAAAGATTATATTCAGTAGAAGAACGTTTAGCAAAAGACTGCAAATCATAGTTAAAGTTTATTTTTAATTCAATTGAATATTGAAAATTCAATATTAAACTATAATAATGTCTAATTTTGTAGGTTTGTGATACAGCATCTCAAAATTTTGCAAAGAATTTGTATTTCTGATAATAATACAAACAAGCATGACCAGCGAACTATAAAATATATGGTGTCTCTTTATACGTTTATACACTATGGATATATATACATCTATATATATATATTTACTTATCAATTAAAAAATAGAAACATATACACAAGCTGCAATAAACTTTAGTGAAATACTGAAATAAAATTACTTTTAAATTCAGTCGAAACAGTATTCTCATTTGGAGCAATCGGTTATTAATTCAAGCGAAACATTTTCCTCAGCAAACAGAACACATGAACGTTTCTATTTATATATGAAAGTATATGTATCGATATTTTTATAATTAAGATAAATTGATATATATATATATCAATATATACAATGTTGGAATTGGGAATAATAATAATTGTTTTAACATTTGTGACAATTTTATTACGACGACTAAATAAAGATTATGTTATTCCAATAATTTGTAAACGTGTTAAAACAATCGATGGATCACCACTGGAAGATAGTGTAGCTGTAGATCTCGGAAGTTCTATATTTGGTAGCACTTTTGTGTGGTTTAAACTAAACTTAGGTATACATACATATATAAATTTGGTGACAGCATAAAGAATATACATGATTTGTTTTTATCTTGTAAGAGGATCTTTTTTACTTTACCCGCCAACAAGCACAGCGTTTTAAGCGTAGCTATGTACAATATGTCTTTGGCTGTCCACTATATAACGTCATAGATGCTGTAGATGCTGAGTTGATATTGACCGATACTCGTCTCATTACGAAAGCAAACTTCTATAAATTTTTGCATCCATTTTTAAAAACCGGCCTATTAACAAGCACCGGTAAGTATAAAAATATACTCATATCTAAAATATTATGCCGACATTAATATATTAGTCATTTGTGTTCATTATTATTAGGAACATGATAAACAACATTTCTACTTATCTATCTTAATTAAGTTTTCACATGTGTGTAAACAATAATACTATAGTTCTATTTTAAAATATAAACAAATAATTTGTATTTTTTTAGGTAAAAAATGGCACACACGTCGCAGGCTTTTGACACCAGCTTTTCATTTCAATATTTTGGGTCAATTTATGGATATATTTAAGTAAATAACTATTTTTATTATTTTACTGTTATATTAGCATAAAGATATTCTATATATCTATTCCTTATAATATTTTATTCGATTTTAGGCAAGAAAGTAGTAAATTTGTACAAAACCTTCACCATTTGTGCGACGTGTCCTCTGATAATATCGTGTCTCTATCTGAAACTATTCCACGTTTCACTTTAAACAATATATGTGGTAATTAGTCTTTATTATTAATTCAATTATTGTATTTATAATGAAAAAATGTTTACAGAAACGGCATTGGGTGTACGTCTGGATGAACATTTGGATGGTGATGAGTATCGAGAGAATATATCAAAAGTTGAAGAGAGTTTTGTAAAACGTACAGTAAATCCTTTACTTATGTCAGATATTGCTTATAAATATTTGGGTGATGGTCGACGGGATGAACAATATTTAAAGAAATTACATGATTTCTCTTGTGGAATCATCGAAAAGAGGCGTGCACTCTTTGAAGAAGAACTTAAAGCAAATATAGAAAACCCAACTGACCCTATTGATACAGAGTAAGAAAATATGAATATTTCAATTTCATAATTAATAAAAACTGATTTCATTATTAGAACCACTGATAGAACTATTACCAAGACTCTTATATATCATATACCAATACAAGTTTAAACAACTATATTTAATTTCTCTTGACATATTAATTCAATTAATAAGCAACCTTTTCTAAAAGTAATTATGTTCTTCCTAGCTTAAAATACCAACTGTGTATTCTTCTTAGCTCTGCTATATTTTTCAATATATTGTTTTAATAGCTATTTGTTTTCTGGAACATAGCTGTTAATCTATAGCAATTGCACACATTGATTAACAGATATTATTGTGTTCTAAAAGTTCACCTTGTTTTGCTCAAACTATCTTAACTGGGTCTCACAATGGTCTTTACTTACTCAGCTGAGGTAACCATATTCGTTCCACAGACGATAACACATAATTTGTAATGGGATTTAATTTTTTTAAATATATAAAATTCATTCTCATTGTGTTGTTTTTTTACATTTTTACAAAGATTTGAAGTCGGGCGATGGAAAAAATAATTACAAATTATTATATTATTTTTCGGGGTTCCTGGATTCTGGAATGCATTGCATGTAAGAGCAAAACAATATTGTGGCTACGAAACATGTACTTTAATATTTCACTTAACAGTTCTCACTTCAGATGTACATATATCATCTCAATTATATAAAGCTTTGAAATTATAAGATTTGTTATCATTAAAAATATTATCTCATCCTTTCTGTAAATTAAACAAACATATATACATGTACATGTATTATATACATATACAAATGTACATATATTATATATACGTATATATAACATATAGATATATATTACTATTACTTATTACTATATATTTTTTAAAATCTTTCAGTTTCATCTTTAAGAAAAAGCGTTACGCTATGTTAGATACAATGCTACGTGCTGAAAAAGATGGTTTAATAGATCATGCTGGTATATGTGAAGAAGTAGATACTTTTGTCTTTGAAGGCTTTGATACCACATCGATGAATTTAATATTTTGTTTAATGAATCTTGCCTTATATCCGGATATGCAACAACGTTGTTATAAAGAAATAGAAGAATTTATGAGTGGTATGTATGACATTATTTAATACGTACAATAAATGTGTTTCATGATATATTTTTCTACAGATGATCTTGCCAATTTAGATATAGCTCAATTAAGTAATTTGAAATATTTAGAATGTTTTATTAAAGAAACACAACGACTATATCCTTCAGTGCCCATTATATTACGTGAATGTCTAGAAGATACGAATTTATCAAATAATCTAATATTGCCAGCAGGAACACAAATCGAACTACACATATTTGATGTACATCGCAATCCCAAGTACTGGAATGATCCAGATGAATTCCAGCCCGAGAGATTTTTATCAGAAAATTCTGAAGACCGACATTCATTCGCTTTCATACCTTTCAGTGCTGGACAAAGAAATTGTATTGGGCAAAAATTTGCCATGTTGGAAGTAAAAACATTGCTTGTATATGTCTTAAAGCATTTCGAGTTAAAGGCAGTAACAGATCCTGCAAGTTTTCGATTTTTAGCTGGCATTCTAATCAGAGCACAATCCAATGTTCAAATTAAATTGCTTAAACGGCAATCTTCATAAGCAGATATAATGAAACATTTGTATATACCATATATGCATATGGTATATATATAATATATAAAGTTTTTGTGGTGGTTTAATTAATGATGCACTTATTTTGATTTATTGGTTATGATTGTTAATTAATTTTATTCAAAGAGTTTTTTAATTATAAATATAATAAAAATAAATTATTGTCTTATATAAATTTGTTATAAATACGATAAATTGAACTTTCCAATGTCTAATTCGTTTTAATTATAATATTTGCATATGAAAACCATGTTAACAATATTGAGTAAAGAGACGCCAAAAAATAATCCAAAAAGTCCTCCAATCGACACTGTAAAATAAAATGAAGAGTACAGTTATTAGAATTACTCATAGAAATAGTTATTATTAAAAGAGTTCATGAAACACCAAGACCTATAGAAGCTACTGTTATGATTTGATTCCCGATCAGATCTCCTAAAGTTCAATCAATATCGGATGGATGTACTCTAACCGTTTCTGGACAATTGCAGTGCACGAGCTTATAAAATGGATGAATGTTTTACTCTGCATTTCACAGAATCTGCTTTTCAACTTGTTCGTACTAGCAAACTCACATATGAGATTTTTGGTGAATTTAGAAGTCCAAGCTTTAAAAACTAAATAACAATCAAGTACATAATAGTACTGGCATTTTTTAATAACTTTTGAGGCATTGTATTGCACAGATTTTAATTATTAGAAGAGTTTCTCATTTAAACAACTACATTCCATGATCATAGACACCAGCATTAATTTATCCGCTGTTTAGTTTTGATACCTTACTGAACAAAACACAGAGAGCTGTATGAAGTCCAATCACTATGTTTACAAATGATTTTTAGTAACCTTTATCAAATTTTAACGAAATTCTAAATTTTCTGTTCGTTAGTAGCTAATGTAATATAGCATCTAAATACCTACCAGCGAACTTAACTTCAACCAAAGGTATTCACCACTGCTGCACCGTATCTTAAGCAGTGGTGAATTAATTATTTGGAGACCGAAGTAGGGACA